ACCTCAGACCAGAACCAACATATGGCAGACCACAGACCAGAACCAACACATGGCAGACCACAGACCAGAACCAATACACGGTAGACCTCAGATCAGAACTGATACACGGCAGACCTCAGACCAGAACCAATACATGGCAGACCTCAGACCAGAACCAATACATGGCACGGCAGATGGGTGTTCCATAGAATAAGACTTGCAGCTGTGTGTACCTGGGAGTGAAGTGATAGGTTAGGACTGTGTAGCCAGTGCTTACCCTTGATAATAACCCCCAGCCTCTTGCTTCACCACTCTGACAGTCCTCCGCAGGTTCACAATGGAGTCTGGGACCCCTCCAGCTTGATTCTCCCATTCATAGCTTTCTTCTTGGCTGCCCTGGTTTCCGGCTCAGGGGTTAAGCTGAGAGTCTCCTGTCCCAGCAGCAGCAGGTTCGGGCTGCACCGCTCCCGGCACAGCTCTGATTGTCAGCTATGACTCCTCGAGCAGTTCCAGGGGGAAGGGGAGATTCCTCCCCAGCAGCAGATGTGGCTCCAGCGTGGGATCTATAATATGGGAGAGCGGCAAGGGAGGCCACATGCCCCGGCCTGGCTGCGGGAACGGTCAGTCCTCTTGTGCCTGATACACAGCACTTACAGCTTCTCCCGCACACTCATTGCCCAGCCCCGCACTCAGCTCCAAACTAAAAAAAATGTTTCCTTTTTGGAGCTCTGTCGCTTCTTGTCCTGGCTGCCAGGTTCTGGTTTGCCTGGGCTGGCGGTAGGTGCCGGTACTGCATACCAGTGCATACTGCCAGAAAAAAAGCACTCGTCACCCTGTAATTCAATACAGTTTTAATTTTTTTTCTGACATGCCCTAAGACCATTAAGAAAATAAGTTTTAATCCTTACTATTAAATTCTCCTCGACTGCAGCTTTGATCTCTTAATCATCCTGAAATATTCACCCCCTCAACTCTTTTTTCAAATTACTGAATAAGAATGTTAGGGTAATACCCCCTGGCAGTTAACATGGGCTTACCTGAGGGGGTAACAGGCCGTGACAGGGGAGGGGCTGGATTCCCCTCTCCCTGCTCCGATCCTCCACCACTGACTGGCGGAACGGACGGGGGAGGGGCGGGTACAGCTGTCTCTGCCTCTAGATAGGCAGAGCCAGATGTCACTCACGCAGATGGGCGGATCCAGACATAATTGTCGGGATCTGCTTCAGCTGCGGCGTCTCAGTATACCGCGAGCTGTAGCTCGCGGTATACTGAGCTTAGGGTGACGGGAGGACGCTAGTTTGTGTCCTCCCGTTACCCTAAGGAGAACTATGGGGAAAAGCCCTAACCCCATAGTTCTCCTTTAAATACCCCTTTGAATCAGAGACGACACGCCCAGCCTCAGTGTACACTGGAAGTCCTGGTCTGGAATCTGTTACTATTATTAGCAATACTGGCCTGTACCCTGTGAGATCCATTAGTAGCGGATCTTCTGGAAATCCTGGCTGGGATTCTCAGAGGACAACGGTAAACCCTGACAGGTACTCTGAGCTCAGCTTACTATAACAAAGAAATAGTCACTGGGGTCCAGGTCCAGGACTATTAGGTAGATGGTTGATTTTTTTGAAGCCAATTTCTCTTAAAGGAGAACTATGTGATTAGGGCTTTTTCCCATAGTTCTCCTAAGTGTAATGGGAGGACACAAACTAGCATCCTCCCGTCACCCAAAGGTCAGTATGCTCGCAGTATAAGGAGACACCGCAGCCAAAACGGATCCCGCCATTTATGTCTGGATCCGCCCAGCTGCGTGAGTGGCAGCTGGGTCTGCCTATCTAGAGACAGAGCCAGCTGTACCCGCCCCCGTCCGTTCCGCCAGTCAGCGCTGGAGGATCGGACAGGGGAGGGGGGAATCCAGTCCCTCCACCGTCACGGCTCTCTGCCGGGACAGGATCGAGAAGAGAGCAAGCGCCGGTATGTGCTCGCTCACTTCCCGATCTACTGAGCCGACCAATGACAGTTTCATTGTCACAGGTCGGCTTAGATTATGAGGCTGAGTGAAAATCACTCACCTCATAATTCTCCTTTAAGACACGCCTCGAAACTTGCATGGTGTGAACTGGCGTGTTGTCTTGCAAAAACAAGACACCCTTTGAGATTTTGCCTCTTCCTTTCGTCAGATGCGTCGATGATTCAGACATGGTGATGTTCATGGTTCAATTTCTCAGAGCGTACTGATGCTTATTACGTGAAACTTTCCTTATATACAGTACCTACCGATTTTAAATACCACAGGCAGCAATGCTTCATTGCTCCTGAATTCAGAAGAGAGTTGCCACTGTCATGTAGACTAGACATGTGCGATTCGTTTAGTTCCGAAACGAAATTCGGACGAATTTTCGGACATTCGGATGTATCAGAATTCCGAATTACAGATATAACGAATGCAAACGAATCCGAATTTCCGTTTCCAAAATTAATTAGCGGTAGTTCGTTCAAACGTTCGTTTCGTGGTCGTTTCTTATTCGCTTTGTTCGTTCGTTGCAGCAAAGTGACATTAGAGAAGGAGAAAAACATTTTTTCCCCCAAAAATGTCACTTTGCTGCAACGAACCAACAAATGGACGAATGAACGAAACGAACGTTCGAAAGAACTACCGCTAACGAATCCACTTTCACACTCAAAAAACGAAATAACACAATATCCGAATCAAAACTAAACACATTTTTTGCCAGTGCACATGTCTAATGTAGACTTTGCCTCCTTGCGCTACATTTGTATGGGAAATGTAGCAATGGGCATAACGATCAGCATTGTCACTGCAGATTGACAAGCCTGTAGTGTAGCTTATCAATCAGCACCTGACCACACCTAGTCCTGCCACTGCTTTCTGGATTGACAGCACTGCCTCTGTACTAAAATACTGCCACTGTAAGCAGCATTGACAGGGTGGGGGAGCATGTGAGACACAATTGAAAGAGGATTTTGAAAGAGGCTAATTAAGAGAATTTAACAAATATTTACTTTCTAAAGCTTGTGAATCACATAGTAACTGGATTTGGTACTTGTTTAGATTGTCACACAGGAGCGTTTAGCTGTACTTTAAAGTAACATTAAAGGATAATAAGACACAGGTAAGTTTAAAACCTGTTTGAAGCGTTTATTTTTTTTAGTTTTTGCATATATCTACTGCTTGCTAGCAGTAGATATATGCAAAAAAAAACGGAGGGTTTAATAACCCTTTGAGATCAGGGAATTAGACCCTGGCTAATCTAGTGCGAGTACCCCAGGTGTTCTCATTTGTGCCCATGGTCATTTTATTATCTATTAGTATCTTTTGGTATCATCCAAAATATAGGAAACATACACATTTTTCCTAAACTTGGATTGTAAGGTGTTTTATGTCTTGTACATCCACTCTCACATTCCCAATTAAGAACTGGTTTTCAGCCTCACAGAATTATGTTAATCAGATTAATAAGTGAATTAGCGAGCCTGGCATTTTTTAAAACTAATTACTGCAGTTCTATGTATAACCAGTGCTTCACAATTCATATTTCTTTTTCACTTAGTAGAATTTTACATGTTGATTAACAGAGATTATCCATTCCATGCACAATTTGCTTTTGGAACCCATTGTATTTGATCTTCTTTTGAATTAACTTTTGATTTTTGTTAGGCAATGATGATGCATTTGATTTAAAACATTTCTGCTATGTCATTATAATTCTGAAATTAAATGTATGACTATTTAAAGTTGAACTCTAGGCAGAAATAAAAGACACAGAATAATGTTATGTGAAAAACAAACTTTTACAAAAAAATTTGGATAGAGTAGGGAATGGTTAACTCTGTCAGTTTATTATTTTGCTGTTTGTGTCATATTAGATTTTCCTTCACTTCTCGTCCAGAGAACACTTATTCTGGTGACAACTGTAAAACCTTGAATTTTCCAAAAATTTCCCAAAGTTGTGGCTACACATACAATTTAATGCAGTTATTTATTTAAAAAAAAGTTAATTATATTCTACAATGTGGCTAAATTAACTTCCTGAATTTCACATGACATTAGCCTCTTGTAATGCCTTGTACAGCCGTGCTCAAGCTAGAGTAGGGAGGGGTAGTACAAGTAGCCAATCAGGTGTACGGCACATGTGTTGACAAGGAAAATTCTGACCAGAGAGAGAGAGAGAGAGAGTGAGCAGAGAGATTAACTGATGCTCCTTATTCTCTGTCCAATCATAGGTTGGGGATGGAAAGCAAAGGAGCGCCAGACTAAATCGGGTTTGAGAGGTTGCTAGATGCCCAGGGAAATGGCAAAAGGCAACCTGTAACTTGCCCATGGAGAATATTTCTGTCTCCATGCAGACCTTGGTCCAGTTGCTCGAACTTTTAGGAAAACTTCAGCACCTATAATCTTCTCACGCTCCAGTTCTGGTGTGTAGATAAGGTAGCCTGATTAAAAACCCCTTCAGAAAAAGAGTATTGCAAAGGCACCCAAGTTCTGAGTTGAAGAATCCTCAAAAAGGGATGTGGGTGAGTTGGTGCGTTTATAGCATTGTATTTTCAAAATAAATTCAGGATGAACACCATAAATGCATTTCTCTATAATGGTCACTTTATCATGAAGGTGTGAGTTCTGGTTGAGGTCACTTCTCCTGAAGTTATATCTTATGTTATGATACAAGCTCCTCAATATTTCCATCTGGTCCCTAGCAACCCAACTGTTAAGAACACAGTTTTGCATTATTGCAAGCACCAATGTTTACTGTAAGTTCATCTTGTTGTGACTTTAGCTCTGAGTTTACTGAGTAGACGTCCCTAGAAAAAGAAGCATGGAATTGGTTTCTTTAGACAACCACACCCGTTTAATATATTTTACTTGTTATAAATCTGCTGTAGCTCTGTGGAATGACCTGTAATGAAATTTATATAGGATAGACAACACATTTAGTCTGGATCAAAGTATTATTCATAGATCAATAACTAATTTATGTTCTGTTATATAGAAACCTTTTTCAAGCTGCAAAAAATATGGCTCTGGCAAGTGGGCACTGGATTGAAATGAATGTCTGCGGAGATCCACCAAGACCTCGGTAGGTTTTATTTCATGTATTACACAATATCCTTGTAGATAGAAAGTCTGAAAGAAATACAATTGGAGATTAAAGGATTGGTTTACCGTAAATTAATCCCTTACAGAAGGAGCACAGTCAAGAATTATAATTGTTTATAACAGTTTGTGACTATAACATTATAGAACCTGTATGAGGTAATGCAGGTAACTACTGACAAAGGTGTTGACACCAAAAAGAACAGGACCAAGGAGAGAAAATGCAGAGACTGTCAAGATCTGGTAATGAGCAGTGAAGAAAGGAGAACTTGGGTTGACATCACCTAGATCTAGCAACTTGTCTAAAGGAATCTATTGTTCCCCCTCAAAAGAGTGAGGGGAAATAGGTGAGAGGTGGTCTTCAGCAATTGGAGAGGCACCAGGTGTTATAACATCTAATGCGTAAACTTGGTCAATGCACACCTAATGCTTGCATCTAGATGGATCCAAACACTGCCATCCAATATAACAAGCCTTGCTGCACAGTCACTTTGTCATAATCTATATAGTCTTTTCAAAAGTGTGTACAAGTCATCAGTACAAAAGAAAGACAGTTTCAGGTTCCCCCACCCCTTTGCCCAGCCACTGAAGTTGAGAAAAGGTGGGGTCATCAGAAACTCATCTGATCTGTATTGTAAACTGTTATAGTCTAAGTTATTGCCCTAGATTTTATTTGCTCCCCGTGTTATGACTGTGATCTGCATTTCAGATTATTCTATTATTATCAATATTCAGGATTTATATAACCCAACAGTATGTGCAGTGCTTTACAATATAAAGGAAGACAGCACAGTTACAATACAATTCAAGGCAAAATGGTTAGGAGGGCTCTGCTCATGAAAGCTTACAATCTAAAATTGCAATCTATATATTTAGATTGAAGCACTCTGATTAAGGATCCTGGCCTCATATAATTGTAATTGTGGTATTTTAGAATGTTACAGCAAGGGCTACATTGGGATACACAGATCCTTGATGTCACCCAATGTGCTGGTTGAAATTCTGCATTAAACTTTCTGCTAATTTTTGCTATTTCTCTGGACTCAACATGAGTACAAAGCAGTGAAAGCACCATCTAGACAGAGGAGGCAATGATATGTTTCTATTGCTCAGTTATTCCCCCTTTTACCTAAAAGAGAATTCCTTTCCTATTTTCCATTTCCTGTCCTTTGTTCCCAGAAGTAACTTGCAATTACAATTTTATGACTGTAATGTTAAAAGGAAATCAAATCTTTACTGCACTTAGCACTTATGTTTTATTTCCTGTGTTTAGCCATAGCCCAAGGACACCTGTGTCTCCTAGTTCTACTTTAAACATACAGACACATTCATCAAAAATGAACAAACCCCTGACTGTAATTCTTACTGGAATAGTAGTAGATAGTATTGTTAGAGGTAATGGGTTGTAACACTAATATATCACACATACAGAACCATGACTGAAATTGGTTATTTAAAGAGACATATGCTTCCCTGTCTTAAAGGTATCCATACACAGAAAATAATGAACATTCATTCCAGCCAATAAATGTCAGCTTAGAGAATAAATCATAGGTCTATGTGCAAACTTTGACCTGAGCTGGTCATATACCCCAGGTCTGACCTATAATGGGGGGAAAAAAATCAATCCTCTGAGAGAAATGGCAATTATAGTACTGGGTGTTTCTTCACTGGACATACACATACATGCATGCCTAACTAATGCAGTTGTGCTTGTTTACACCTTTTTAATTTTACAACATGATCATGCAGCAGTCATATCTTCTGACCATCGTCTCGTTTCTCTGTGTAGCTTTATCTGTCTCATCAAGTGCTTGTTTCCTTTAAGATAAAGCTGGGAAAATGATCTTTAAAAAATAGAACACTACTGAAATAAAAGGAAAAAATAGACATACAGGTGCACTTAACAATATGAAAACATTATAACTAGGGATGCACCGATACTGATACTAGTATCGGTATTGGTGCTGATACCGAGTATTTGGGCAAGTACCCACACTCGTCCAAATGCTCTGATACCTTCCCCGATACCTGAACTTCCAGTCAGAGGAAGATTTCCTCTGACTGGCAGTGACAAAGGGGAACATGAAGCCGGCTTCCTGTGCAATCAGGAAGTAATGACCAGCCTCCCGGCTTCCTAATTGGCCGGGAATCTGGGCTTTATGTTGATTGGCTGGAAAGTCGGCTAACCGGCCAATCAGGAAGCCGGGAGGTGGATCATTACACTCCTCCCGGCTTCCTGATTGGCCGTGAAGCTGGGCAGATGCTGATTGGCTGGGAAGCCGGTATCGGTACTCGGTATCGGCGAGTACCAAAAGCAAAACAATCGGTACTTGTACTCGATACCAAAAAAACGGTAAGGGTGCAACCCTAGTTATGACACAATGACACACATTTTCTAACGCTAAACCCTACCTGAACAACATTTAATTTGTTTAACAATTGCTATGTTCTTTTGTTAACAAGATACTTGTTTTCAGCTTTTTTTAATCCTTTGTTGCATCTCAGTGCTGCTGATTTCCGGCAGCCTCTTTGTACACATCCTGTCTACATGCATGTACTATTGTGATGACTGCATAGCATTTCCTGATGACAACAACGGACTGTGTCTATGCAATGTGTGTTGAACTAATAATTTGTATTTGCCATTGAAAGCTCATGTAATAGGGTGACATCATAGGAGCACAGGATGGACAGAGCATTGTCACCTTATTATAGGAAGTGCCTGAACAAGCACCTTCATGGCAGGATCACCAGATTGTATTTTAATCAGGGCATAAGTTGCAACTAGGCCTCATAGGCAATGGCAGAGGGTGTCATGGCTGCTGGGGTGGAGTATAGCTCTCCAGGCTACTCAGGAGACTAATGTCTGCCAGGCCACTTGCCCTGCTCCTTCCTCTTTGGTACTGATTTTGGCATTAGCAATGTGCTGCAAGTGATGACCAAAAACAAACCAGCAGCTTGCCCCTCCAGACCTTCTGCTCCAACCCCAGCATGCAACAGCATAATTTATTGCACCCTGTGAAACTGAGGCACGGAGTGGAGTGTGTATCTTGTGAGGCTACAGGGCAGTGGTGTCTAGACCAGGGGTCAGCAACCTTAAAAACTCAAAGAGCCATTTGGACCCGTTTCCCACAGAAAAGAAAACACCGGGAGCCACAAAACCCTTTTGACATCTAAAATGAAGATAACACTGCAAATATAGTTTTTTACCTTTATGCTATGTATAGCATGTATATAGGTATATGTGGGCTTAGTAATGCACTGGACTCTGCACAGTGCGATCTCACATTCCACCCCACACACAAAGTCGGATAGAAGTGACATTTCAGGACCGATCAGCTGTTCCAGTCAGATCGGTTCTCCTCCACATACGATTTGCGATACCGATCTGCCCTGGAACAACTGAGAAAGTGTTGGAATGCTCCACCTATTGGTGGTCACACATTCCACCGCCCAAAAACTGGGCAGGATTACATTAAACCGCTCCCCCCCTCGCTCCTTATTCGGACTCACCTGCCAAGCCTCACACCCAGCATTCCAGCCAGACTGTGTGCACTGCAGGGTGCGGGCATGTGACACACACTTCTCCTCTCCTGCCGCCTGTTACTAGGGATGCGGCTGGGACAGGAAGCGAGTCACAGGACCCGCCCCCTTGCTGAGAAGCGTGTTGGCAGTGCGGGGCCCTGGGACACTGCACTGCCGCATATTCCACCAGGGGGGTCCCCAGGACCGGACCTCACTGGGCCCCCCCACAGCCTCAGGCCCCTAGGCCCCGGCGGTAGTTCCGCCCATGGACAGGGAGCCGCAGCAGATGAATGAAAGAGCCACATGCGGCTCTGGAGCTGCAGGTTGCTGACCCCTGGTCTAGACGCAGTGAGGGGACTAATAAAAAGTGACCGAAACAAACCTTGCCACAACTGCAGCGCATCCAATCAGCTTTTACATTTTCTAAGTGTGTCCAAAAGTGGAAAAGTATGGAAGTGTGGAACAATGAAATACAGAAGCTGATTGGTTGTTATGGAGCCAGTTGAGGTAGACACTTTTTTTTCCATTCTCCCCATTGAGTAAGAGAATGTGTCTGAAAGAGCCGCCTACCTGCTATTTGCTGCAGGTGTCTGTAGGCTTCCTCGGCCACTGTATGGATGTCTGATGATCCATAATAAAAGAAAAGTATAAACTCACAATCTGTTTAAGTAGTAATAAACTCTCAAACATTTTGTTCAATAATGAATTCAGGTCAAATAAATATACATTGCCCAGCAAATTATTTCTCTACATGTTTGCCCAAACACAGTCATCATGTTTCCAAACACCTGGCTCCAATTCTCCCAGCTCATCTTCCCTGAACTTCCTGTCGAGTACAAGAACACAAGGGAGAGCACAGTCTCCAGCACCTGTCCACCTACTAGCTTGAAGGGAGGAACAGGGAGTGGAAGAGTGACTTGTCCTTCTGTATCTGTGTGTTTCTGGAGACAGCTTATTAGTACACACAGCTGTGTCTCCATAGGACCCTTCAAGGGAATGGAGACAGACTAAAACAGGACATCATCTCAGAGAGTTAAATGCCTTTCCCTGAGATTTCATGAGATTATTGATGAGATTTCACAGCAATGCTCTGCTGATGACAAGGTCAAGTGCAAGACTTTGCCCAATAAAGGCTCAGGGCTCTGTAAGAGCCATGATTGGGCAAAGTAATGATGACTTTGCCTAATCATGGCTCACAGCTAAGTTCCAGCCCCACACTATATAAGGCTGCTTAAAACGGCAGCCTTATGTAGTGTGTTGCTGGAGTTAAAAATAGAATTCTTAGGCGTGGCTAAACAATGGCGGAGTGAGCACGTCTTTCACTGGAGCTCTGCAGTACTCTTACCGGCTGATTCCACGGCCTTTCTCACCCCATGCCGAAGGAGAGCAAGACCGCAGGCACACAGGGAGACATCCGCTTCACATATTACAGCCTGTTTCATCGCCCAGGCACGG